TCTTCCCCCTGCATTCCCAGAGGAGCCCAGGCCCATCTCCCCCATTCCTGGAGCTCCAAGGAAAACTCCCCCCTTGTGCAGATCCTGCTCCAGCAGAAGCACAGCTGGCACTGCAGGAGGCTGAGCCCCCCTGGGATGGGGCTGAGCCACCTCCCTGACCCACAGGGGGACAGGGCATTGCTGACTCTGGCATGATTTGTTTTCTCCTTTTGTACTGTTGCATTTGTATTTTTGGTTTTCCTAGTAAAAACTGTTATTCCTATTCCCACATCTTTGCCTGAGAGCCCCTTAATTTCAAAATTGTAATAATTTGTAGGGAGGGGGTTTACATTTTTATATTCAAGGGAGGCTCTGCCTTCCTCAGCAGACACCCGGCTTTTCAAACCAACCCAAACATTGCAAACCAGCCATCAGGGATTCCCAGGGCTGGAAACCTGGGACGATCCCCTGGGGAGGCCACGTACCTGCTTCAGGGCTGGTCTGGTTGCAGCTGCTCCCGATGCTGTTGGGGATGCCCGGCGTGGAGGGTGCCTGGAGCCTGGCCTGAGCCGGGCTGGCGTGTAGGGAGTTCCCCAAGGCCATTCCTGCCTGGGGGAGCATCCCGCAGCCCCCGCTGGCCTGCATCTGGTTGAGGAGCCCGGCCAGGTGGTTGGAGGGGGGCGGGCCAGCGGCGGGGCCGAAGGCGGGGTTGGGGTTGGGGCAGGGCAGCCCCTCCCCACGCAGGGGCAGCCCCGGGGCCACGCCGCCGGGCGCGCCCAGCGCGGGCTCTGCCAGGTGCAGCTGGGCGCCGGGGCAGGGCAGGGCGCTGCTGGAGCTCCCGCAGCCCGAGGAACTATTGCTGCTCCCGTGGGAGCTCTGACAACTCATGGACTGCAGGAGCTGCGACATGGAGCTGATGGGGAAGGAGCTTTGACTTGGCTTTCTTATCAAATCAGACCCAGCTTTGGGAAGCCCAGAGCTGTCCAGCTGAGACTGTCTCAGCAAGCTCAGCACCGTGGCGGTGGGCTGCTTCCTTTTCCTCAGAGGATCCTTTTGCTGAGACATCAGTTTATCTCTCAGCGCCGCCCGGCCGCTCTGCCCTTCCGTGGTGGGGAGGAGCACGTTGGCAGCAGGAGGGAACATGGGATTTAAAGTGCTGTGTCCTTCGGTGCTGCCGCCGCTGGCAACAGGTCCGGAATTGCTACTGCTGTTATTGTTGTTACCAGCAAGTTTATTTTGATTTGCTAGCTGTGCTTTGGCTGCTGCTGAGAGTAAACTGCTCGCTGGAAAAGAGGCAGCGTTGTGCTGGTTCAAGATCTGATTTAAAGGCATTCCCAGCAAACCAGGCTGACTCTTCAAGGAACCGCTTCCGGCCGATGCAGCGGGAAAAACTGCATTGTTGGGAGGATTTAACACATTACTCATTCCAGCAATTAACGGGTTAGGGATGTCCTTGTATTGACTGAGTCCGTCGTGCTTGGTGGAAGGGCTGGATGGCATGGATGGCCTCGGTGACCCTATGGTTGACCTCGGGGACCTGGGAGGGACTTTGATACCGCTACAGGACGACTGCGGCCCTACTGGAGGCAGCAGGAAGTTTCCGTGGTCGGACGAGGTGGAAGAAGAACGTGATCTTTGGGGAGAAGCCTCGATCCTTCCGATGCCGGGCGCCATCACGTGAACGGGGGACGTCACCGGCGAGGGGGACAGGGACGTGGAAGCCGAGTGCTGAACCCTTTGGACGTGAGCGCCATGGTTGATGTGGGCGGGTTTGACGGTGGGCAGGGGCAGGTTGCTGGGCAGGGGCACCACGGCGGGGGGCATGCTTACATTCATCACGGGTACCTGAGAGTGGACACTGGAGTGGAAAGTGGTGGGGTTCATGATCACGGGGTTCTGGTTCACCGGTTTGCTGGGAATTGGGTCCAGTATGCCAAGCGGATCCTTCTCGGATGTTAATGGCTTTTTCTGAAGAGCACAAGAAGGCGGAGGAGGAGGTGGGGGTGGGCCTTGGGGGGGTTTATGGTGGAACATTGCTCGTGGTATTTCCATACCAGCCGAAAAGTTACACACGGGTTTTTTCATGACTGGGCTCTTGGTGGTCAGGGTGGGGGAAAGAGGTATATTAGTCCTTCCAGCCATTGCACAGGATGACTGTATGGGAGAGCCGTGGAGCATGACTGACGGCGGGGACAGAGGCGTCCTGGTCATGTGGATAGGACTGGAGTTGGGCGCTCCGTGAAAACTGGGATTGTTCCTCGTGAAGACGTCGGGGCTTCCGAGCGGGTCAGTCCTGGGGGAGATGGAGCCGTCCCCGTAGATCTGCGATCCCGAGGACGCCGGGCTGGGCATCCCCCCGTGACTGCCGCGGTACGGAGACTTCTGCCCCAGTTCATTGCTCCCCAATCTCTGCCTGGGATAGGCAGGATGGAGCTCTGCTTGCTGGCTTCCAGCCATTTCTTGCACATAAAGCCTACCCATGGCATTAGATGCCCCCATCATCAACTTGAAAGGAGTCTTACATTCCGGCATCACAGAATTTGTAATTCCTTCATGTGATTTATTCCTCATCGACCTTGGAGTTGCTGCTCGAGTGGGAACTACCGGCGTTGCACCTGGCGTGGGAAACACACAACAGTTACTACTGGTGGCAAATCCAGTGTGCCACGTTTCAGGGCAAAGCTACTGAGGGTGAAAATATTCCCAAAAGCTCAGGGAGGCTTTGGCTGAACTTTTGCTTCAGCAGAAATAAACGCTCAATCACAGAGCGGCCGCTGGAACGATGCCTGCTCTGAACTACACAGTTGTAATTCCGTATCCCATAGAAATATGGACCATTTGACACCTTTTTCCTTGCCTTTTGCCTTTTCCAGCCTCCTGCATCTCCAGCATCCCCCCTCTGGCAGGAGGAGCGGGATGGCTGTGGCAGGGAAAAGGAGCCTCTGGCACCATCTATTGAGGACAGGAGGAACAAAGCCCATCCAGGACTGAGACTCAATTCCCACAGAAAAGCTCCTGTCCCAAATGCTGTCCCTGATGAGGCATCCTGAATGCCTTCTGTTTGCTTTCAGGATAAAAGCCCTGGGGATATTTGCATGTGATGGAAAAATTCCCTGTAAATCCCACTTTTGAGGCTACACCTTCTAACAAACACAAAACCACTTTCCTTCTTTAAGTAAAGAGATTTTTCTCCCAGTGTTTTACTTCCAGACTAGAAGCACAAGCAGCTCCAAGTCTGGGGCACTTTCTGCCACTTTTGCAGCTCTGGGAATTTGCAATTCAGCTCGTAGTGTTTGGCATGCAGCCTCTGGAAATGCAAAATTCAACTGGAATTGGGAGCTAAAAATTCTGTGTTCAAATGAACTCAGGAGTGCCTTGAAACTCCTCTAGTCATCTTTCCTTCAGCCTGGTCAGACAGCACTGACAATCCTGCCTTCATCTTATTTGCTCCAATGTAAGAGAAACAAATATTTCCCTTGTCCCAAAATACAATCAAACTCTCATTTAGGGGATAAAACTAAAGGCTGAACTGCAAAATAAAACAATTATGAGAGGCCTCACCTTGGGTGCTGGAAATAAGCAAATGGTCACATATAAATGTGCAAAATCTTGCTTACAAGGGGATTTATTGGGGAATTTTCTTTGCTTATGCACAAAATTTTAACCAGAGATAAAGCAAGAGCACATAAATATATAAATTACCTCCTTCATTTTGCTAATTTTTTGAAAACAGGAATGGAATTTAGGTACTACTCACTGAAAAAATTAAGCAGGGAAATGCTTAACAGAAACGTGGGAAATTACACTGAAAAGAATTTTCAAGAAAGGTTTCAAATCCTAAATTTCAATGGGAAAAGGCAGGGACACATCAGTACTATGAACAGCATGGGCCTCTTAGCATTGGCACTTCTCTAAAACTCATTATTTCTTGGTTTTCTTATAATTTTTCCCCTTTGAAGTGGGAAGGGCAGTTGGCCAGGTGCTCTCACAGCAATGGGGGGTGCAGGGAGCTCAGGCCTTTTCCCAGGAGCTGCAACCCCAGAGCTCAGAAACAGAAACTCAGCCCCTTCCCTCCTCTGTCCTGCCCGCTGGCATTTGTAATTCTCTTCAGAGAATTGTGATCCTTACAAAATCCCTCCTTTTGGGTGAATTTCTGGGTTTGGAGCTGTTTCAGTGCTAACTTTGCTGTCACTCCAGGCCTCAGGGAGCCCCCCTGGTTTTACAACCTTTGTTTGGAGAGTATCTGTCAACTTCAGCCACCAAAAGATTGCCTCACTTTTTTTTTTATTGATGGGGATAATTAAAATGCTAATCCAGGTTGGTGGCCAAAAATAATCCTTGAGAAATGACAGTGGAGATCTCCTCTTGCTGTCTATTCTCCTTTACAATAGAATTTCCCATTTAGCCAAGTCCTTAGCCACATCCTAATCCCTTCATAATCACTTTATTCTGCTCCTCTAATTTCCCATGTGACAGAATATCAGACATATTACTACAGTTCCAAAAGATGAGAGCTAATGTATTTTCTTTGTCTAGAACAATCTGATATCTTTTCCAAGAAAATCATGCTTTTAGTCTGGGCTGACCTGCTTTTAGACTCATTTTCTATCTACCTCCATCTCTGACTACTCCCTTTATTTATTCCTTCAATCTGCTTATTTCTGCACTCACAGTCAGATTTTCAGGGTGGTTTTGCATAGTAATTGTGTGTATAAAAATCAGATTATTACGTGATTCTGCATGATTTCATTTTACTCACTTGTTCCACCACCAGGACTAGTTAGAACCAGTGAAGGATGTGGTGCTTCCATGCTTTTATGAAGTGTAGCCACAGCAATAATTTTCCTTTTGTGAATGCATAGTTTGGTGACATCTTCGTCCGCTTTAACATCTTCAGCAGTTCTCTGCTTCACAGCAGCTCCAGGATCAAAATTAAAGACCTGGCAGTAAAATTCCAGCATTTAAAAGAATGACTACAGGCAGCAAAGTCTCCAAAGGCACATCAATTAGGAGTTTTATATGGAGTATAGAGGAATTCTCCTCTGTTCCTCATGCTCCTATACTGCTCAAGGGGTTCCTTGACAGAATGTTTGGAAACAACAAATAAAAAATGAATATATTTATAATAACGGAGTCAGATCCTCTGCAGGAGGGGCTAAGGCAGAGGGGAGCTGAATTTTATATTTTAAAGTCTAACTTTGGGTGGACACCATTTATTTTAGAGAAGATCTGAACAGAGTTTGAGTCACCAGCATGGGTAGCTCATAAATATGATTGCACCTAGATCCAAAATGATGCTGTGCTTTACCTTGGGAAGAACAAGAGGACATTCTAGGCCACACTTGCACGTTCCATCAGTCAGCAAGTAAGACTTCACCTGCTCCAAGCAGGATAATAAAGACCCACTGGGACTGCAAAGGAACAGAAATTATGAATACGAGCTCTTGGATAGGTCAGGACTTATATCTGCTCAAAAGGACAGTGGGTAAATATCACATTTTGTATTTTTTTCTCACAGCACTTCTTGTTTTTATTCAAGAATTGAGGTAATACTTACAAAAAAACCCCCAAACATATTTTAAAGGAAACAAAACTGTTGCAGCTGGGTCTCTTTATTGCACTGGGTTTGGTTTCATTCAGCTAAAATTTTGACCTTCTCACTGAAAGTAAGAAATATTACACCAAGGAGTCAGGCCAGCCAGTTCCTGATAAACTGCACTTGGATTTCTCCAACTCCCACCAGAAAATCATTATCTCCACTTCCCAAAATAGGGCACTGGGAACTCTGTTACGGCAAAATCACTAATTCATAATATGAAAAAACCTTCTCGTGTCCCCAGCCTGTAACTTGCAGATTGCTCTTTATTGCTGGGCCAGCTGAACTGTTTATCTGGAATAAAACCCTGGTTATTAATGGCAGCTGTAAATAGCCCTAATTCAAACAAAAACAGCTCAAGTGGAATAGTTTGGATCGTGAAAACACTTCTGACTCAAAATTCCAAGCTGTGACCAACTTTGGTACTTAAGAATCCAACACATAAACACCTCATCCTGCACGAGTCACATCTAAGGCAACATCTGCAAGTGACATTTAAAGTTCTGCTGACAGTTTAAATAAGTGATTTCTTTGCCAGGCATGCCCTGAAATAGTTATTTTTGGGAGAAGTGCTCAGGTTGAATCTGTGTAGCAGTGACAGTTCGGAGGGTGAGGAAGATGAAAGAGCAATCTAAAAATAAAGGTCCAGGTCTGGTGACTGGTCAGGAGTCAAACCTTCCCTGTCTGAAATCCTTGGGGAGCAGGGGGAAACTGCTCTTTGCTTTTATTTATTTTCATTAAAGCAGGATCCTGCCTGATCCCTTTGGATGTTCCCACCTGTCCTGATCATGCTCAGCCCAAACTCCACACTGGAGGATGGAGCAGCTTCCCAAGGGAGAATCCCACACTGACATTTGCTCTGGACCACCCCATCCACACCCAAAATCTCTCCAGACACTTTCTGTGATCATTAAAATCTCCTGTTAAAAGGCATTTCTGGGGATATGCTCTGCAGTGAGGATGCTGTTTTATTTTTATTGGCTAAAAAAGGCTACTTTTCCTGGGATATTTTTAGAAAAAAGCTGTTTTAAATAACCTTGGTGTGCTGTCTGCCTGGGCACCCACAACCAGGCTCCAGGAGATCCTGGGGTGAAAAGGAGTGTGCTGACAATCAGGGAGTGGGGAGGAAGGTCAGTGCCCTGAATCTGTGAGATGTGGGACCCAACATTCCCACTGCACACGCAGGCAGGGTTATTTGTCCACAAAACCAACTAAATTTCAAAAAGGGCCATTTCCCCCCCCGTTTCTGCCTTGATCCTGGGCACAGCTGTAACAGCAAAGTCTCTTTTGTGTGCACCAAGTTATTGACACTTCTGTAACACAAAGGATAATCCACAGCTTGCTTTGTAAGAAACTGCCACAAAATCAAGGAATTGCAGACTGCTCTGGGCTGGGAGGGAGCTGAAGCTCAGCTGATTCCAGCCCTGGAATCACCTTCCACCATCCCAGGCTGCTCCAAGTCCCGTCCAGCCTGGCCCTGGACACTTCCAGGGATGATTTAGGCCCTACTTAGCAGCTCTGTTTTGCTAAGAAAAGCCCTGAGAGTCAACTCAGTGCTTCTACCAGGTAATGAAAACCAGTTAATGAATGGATTTAATCTTGATTTAATCCAAAGCAACTGCTGACAGCTGACAGGAAAGCATCTGTGCTTTCCAAGGAGGCACAAACAGAGAGTCTTTATTCAGCTGGGATCATCTATTCCACTTGAATCATGTCAGATCTTAATATATCCACTAATTTTTCCCTGGGATGGCTGTGGAGTCAATATTGTTTGACCTTTCCTTGCCTCCAGGAACGCTGTGCATGCTGGCAGGGCAGTGAGGAGGTTGTGGAAACTCAATCCTGGAGGATTCAGCTGCCCTCAGAGCCCTGTGGATGCTCCATGTCAGGCAGGAGATTGGATTATTGGACTTCCACCCTTCCAACCACCACGTCCTGCTCTGGGCCTTAAACCACATTCATCAGAACCACTCAGAGAAGGGGACCAGAAAATTCACCAAAACTCCAAAAAATACTTGGGAAGAGGGCAGGAATGAGCTTCCCCGAAGCTGTTGTGTAAAACTTTTTAGGGTTGTAGAAAATGAAATTCAAAAGTTGAGTGGGATCATCAGGTACA